TGGACAATGGCAGCCAGCGTGCTGGCTTACCCACTTCAACTATGATGCTAGCCAGCGTGCTGGCTTTGCCATCTCAACCATGGCAGCCAGCGTGCTGGCTTACCCACTTCAACTATGATGGTAGCCAACGTGCTGGCTTTCCATCTGGACAATGGCAGCCAGCAAGCTGGCTTCCACTGCCTGTTGTCAGCCAGCAAGCTGGCTTCCACTGCCTGTTGTCAAAGGCACGTGTTAGTTGTACTACCAAGTCGCCAGTTCTCATCTTCCAGCTCCCCAGCTACTCCGCGCACTACAGTTATATACTACACCGTCGCCAGTTCGCAGCTACTACCCACTCGCCAGTTCTCCTCTTCCCATTTCCCAGCTACTCTCCATACTAAAGTTGTACTACCCAGTCGCCAGTTCTCATCTTCCCAGTCCCCAGGTACTCTGCGTACGAAAGTTGTACTACCAGGTCGCCAGTTCTCATCTTCCAGCTCCCCACCTACTCCGCATACTAAGGTTGTACTACACAGTCGCCAGTTCTCAGCTACTACCCACTCACCAGTTCTCATCTTCCCACTCCCCAGCTACTCTGCGTACTACTGTTGTACTACCAAGTCGCCACTTCTCATCTTCCAGCTCCCCCGCGACTCCGCGCACTACTAAAGTTGTACTACACAGTCGCCAGTTCTCAGCTACTATCCAGCTACTCTGCGTACTACAATTGTACTACCCAGTCGCCACTTGTCATCTTCCAGCTCCCCCGCTACTCCGCGCACTACTAACGTTGTACTACAACATCGCCAGTTCTCAGCTACTCCGCGTACTAAAGTTGTACTACGCAGTCGCCAGTTCTCAGCTTCCAGCTCCACAGATTGCTCCGCGTACTAAAGTTGTACTACAAAGTCACCAGTTCTCAGCTTCCAGCTCCCCAGCAGCTCCGCGTACTACCGTTGTACTACCAAGTCGCCAGTGCTCATCTTCCAGCTCCCCAGATACTCCACGCCCTCCAGTTGTACTACCCACTCGCCAGTTCTCATCTTCCCGCTCCCCAGCTACTCCGCGCACTACTCTCGCACTACCACGTCGCCAGTTCTCCGCTTCCAGCTCCCCAGCTACTCTGCGTACTAGAGTTGCGTACCAAATCGCACTCTCGCCTGTGTTTCGCGCACTCGACACGCACGATCTCCGCAGAGGGTTGCGCGGGCAGCCGGCAAATCACACTCTCGCCTGAATTTCGCGCACTCGACACGCACGATCTCCGCAGAGGCTTGCGCGGGCAGCCGGCAAATCGCACTCTCGCGTGCATTTCGCGCACTCGACACGCACGATCTCCGCAGAGGGTTGCGCGCGGACCGGACAAATCGCACTCTCGCCTGCATTTCGCGCACTCCACACGCACGATCTCCGCAGAGGGTTGCGCTTTCGGTTGACGCTGTTCGTCCCACACTCCGCCTTTGAGAGAGAATTTATAAAGTGGGGAAATGTTTTTTCATTAGGACATCTCCCGTGCTAGTTTTCCATATTTTCCATACTCACACTTGCTTGCATACTCACACTTGCATACTTTGACCCTGGCATACTTCGCACTTGGATGCTTTCGCTCTTCCAGTGTGTGTGTGTGTGTGTCAGTGTGAGTGTCGAAGTGTAAGTGTGTCAGTGTGAGTGTCGAAGCGTAAGTGTCGAAGTGTCAGTGTTCAAAGGATTTTCCGGAAGAACCCTTCGCAATGCTTTCGGGAAAACTACTAGTAGATGTGTTCCTTAAAACTCACCCGAGGAGAAAGGCTTAGGGCCGGCCATAGACGTGTAAGCTAAACTGCTGACCCATATGATTGGTCCAAGTCCGTAGAGTCCTGAGCGATCCTTGGTGTGGTTTCCAGATGAAGAAGTGCACCTCCGACATCTGCGACTTCCCCGGAAACGCCGTGGATCAGGACTCCGAAACATCCTGAAGGGGGTGTTCTCAGTGAGCCGAGTACGAGGCGTTCTCAGGGGCGTTCGATGAAATGCGCTGCTTGGACCTTAATGCTTGGACCTATCAAACCTGTGGCCCTGGGACATTTGTGGCACACCCCGAGTTGAAGATTTCACCCCGACTAGAAGCGCACCTTCAAGGCTCACCTTTGTCAAAACTCACGGAAAGGATTCCATGAAAGCCATGTGTTGAGCAGTGACCCAAGGCAAGTTATAAGTGTTTCAAAAGAAATCAAAAGAGCATCCTTGGTGGACAAGTCATCCTCCAGCAGCCCAAGTACCTTGGAGTTGCTTAAGGCACTTATAGGAAACATCTCAACTCGAAACTGATGAATTCTACACACAAATAGGGTTTCAGTAAAACTCAATCAACATGGGCTTGTTCTTGGACAGTGAATGACTCACTGCACACCCCGAAGCACCACAGCTGACACAAAGGCATCAGTTGGGTGTGGCAAAGATCGGAGAGTGGAAGATTTGCTTCGCGGACAGAATTAATGTCTTCCGTTTTCGGCCTAATCCCTCGAATATATATATATATTATATACACGCCCTCGCATGGAAAACATACAATTTCCACAAGTGACCAAAGCCTCTTGGAGAGTGTTTGGTAGACTGGTAGGGGCAGGGTCCAAACAACACGAGATTCCTGCTGATCTTGTGCTTTTGCTGCCTTTTACTTCCTGTATTGACTCATGCTCTGTTAACTGGGAAAGAGTTCACATCTCACACACGCAAACAAATGTGGCAGGATATCTCCGTGAAGCTAATCTGCCCAAGCTGTGCTCGGACCTCCTTTGGCCACAGAGTCGCAAAGCGCACGCTGAAGCGACGCACAAAAAAAACTGGGAGCTTCTGCAACGCGCCATTGTCAGCGGTGCAAGCTCAAGGCTTCTTCCAGAGTGGTATAACAATCTCATCTGAGAAAACAAAACAAGATATTGAAGAATAGCTTGTGGGCCTTTTCCATAGACATGTGACATGCCCTTCAAGAAGCCTCATCAAAATTGGAGACGAGCGTGATTTGAAGGGCTCGATTCATCAAGTCTCAATCATGTCCTTATCACTACACTCTACGTACGTAGTCACATATATGTCAATTAAACACAGGTGCACATGTAAAAATGAATAAACAAAAACACAATAAGTACCGTGTATCAATACTAAAGGAACCACGCATCTGCTACCTGGTGGTCTCTGCAAAGCTTGCCAACTGAAAGGCTTTGGATATGAAAGCTGAATGGAAAGGGACCTTCTCAAGGGGGACTTCATGATCCCAAACTGTTCCGTTGAGCATATCCCTTGCGACAGCTTTTGCCGTGGCTTTTCCAAGACATCACAACATGGAATCAACTCTTTATGCATTAACATCTGGTACCAATATACTTTTGAAAAGCGATATTGCTCGGGTACTTACTAGGTAATGTCAGAAAATTCCACCATCAATTGTTGTTACTCATCCTTTCTGTTCTTTCTAGTCACTCTTGGGTACCTCACCCCAAGATCATGCGCTTCGTTCCGTTGTGTATTGGGCATCGGCGTAGGGGCAAAAGAAACAACACCCTCTTACGGTCAAGATTGTCAAAGCAGGAGGATTATTCCCATTCCATCTTGGTCTCAACCAAGAATGCTTACCCCTAGGCAAACTTGACTATGCAATACTATGCATCTGCTCTCGCCTAATCTTAGTATCGAAATGAAAGGTGTGTACACGTTGTGATACACCATACATCGAGGAAACAATATCGTCTCAGCATGCTTTGACCAAAGACCTAGAGCCATCCAACACGCTGGCCCCCGCCCCGCCCTGAACTGCTGCAGGGCACCGCCTATACCGTCACTTCTGCACCTGGCGAATGTCATCGTCCGTTTCTTCTGCTTCGTACCACAAACACGAGGTTCAGGCAGCCTGTGAGGTCCCTGACTACAGTTGTGAGTGACTAGAGAACATGGTGAAACATCTGCCGAAGCAGACCAAAACCATCACACGGTTTGGAATTCACGAGACGTGCCAAAAGCGGATGAGACGTTTTTGTGCGCCCGGATGTCACATGAAGCTCGATATAAATTCCGTTGGCCAGGCCGGCCACCTGATCCTAAGACTGTCCCATGGCCACGGCGGCTATTCCCTATATAGAACCTCCAAAAGTGTTCCACAAGCGGCACCTCAACAAATACCTCCACCAGGAATCCACAGAAACTTGCTGTGAACACTTCTGGGTATCCACTGAAAAATCCTCGTTTTGGCCTCCGACCTGCTCAGCTCCACAGCTCCGTCGCACGAGAAAATCGGCGCTGCGACGGAAGCTGGAAGCTCCGCTGCACCTCGTCCATCTGAAGAAAACTCGGCCTCGGCCTCGGTCGATTCCCTGGACGTTGGAGATCTGAGAAGTACCTGGACGTTGGACGAGGTTCTGAGGGGTACGAAGTTCCACCATGAGCAAACCACGTGCACTGCTTGCAGACCAAACGCACCTTAACTAGTGCAGTGCCTAAGGAGATTTGGGGGCACGAAAAGGCGATTGGAGAGAGTTGGTGTGCGATGCAGCGCGAAGGGACATTCTGTATCATGCTCTCCAATGCTCTCCATAATTCATGGAAGAATGTGGCTGAAATTGGTCACCATGGCCATACTTCAAGCCAACTTTGCATCGCTGTCGGCGCACGTGACGTGGTCGAATCCTGCAAATGAAGAGCGGGAAGGCGGAGTGGCTACAGCAAAGAAACATGGCAAACAAATAATAACACAAGGACCTATATACACACCAGCCGCAAAGTGTTTACCATGCGTTTAGGTCCAACCGTTCCATTATATACATTGATGCTTGAATCATGGTCACTATAGGCACTCCAAGTCAGATGCTTGGTGGGATCATGGGGCTGGGCGAATGGCTGGTGCGTTTGAACTGAGCATGCTTCAATCATAAAATCTGGAGCTGGCTCAGCCGGGCTCCCAAACCGTAGGTTCCACAAATTTTGACCATCATCCTCCAGTAGCACCAGGAACACACTCTGCACCATTTTCTTTGGTCTGATTACACCAGCATCGACCCAAACAGCAGCGGCAGTCCGAGTTTTCCACACGCCATGGGACCATGGGAGGCAAGGGGAGACAAAGCAAAATCATCTCAGCCCAGCATCCAGACAGGCCATGGGAGACAAGGGGAGACAAAGGACGGGAATCATCTTGACCCAGCATTGTTTCTATGCAAGAATTGCGAACCCCTCACAGCAAAGCTGTTTGGGGAATAACCAAACAAAATAAACAGCCCTTGCTGAATTTGTTACGTGGCTTCCTTTTTTTGATCAGCTTCTGGTCCAAAAACGAATCCGTCGGGGCTCCGTAGAAAAAAAGAAAAACGACGCCTACGGGGCAGGAGCGTGTGCAGGGCGGCGTCTCCGGACGGAGAAGCGTCGTTTGGAGAACACCTGATGCCATGCGAGGGCGCCGAGGGAGGGCGCCGAGGGAGGGCGCCCCGAGTCCGTCGGTTTGGGCGGCGCCATTTGAGCTAAACACCACTGAACATCACCTCTATAAGCTGATGTTTTCTGTGGGTTTGAAGCTAGGAACATGCCAAAACACCAATTGCTGTGTGTTCAAACGTAGTAACCCCAGAGAATCTGAACGCAACAAATAAAAACATCCTTGGTCCTTGGGCATGCTGCGGCATGCGTAATTCCCTAAGATCCCCTGACAAAAAAATGTGGGTGCCCAGTTCCTCTTCGCTCCTTGAAGAATGTTGAACATAAATTAAAACAGCTGGTCCCGCTGTCAAGTCAAAGTCGCAGAATAAAGTTACAGTACGTACAACTCTGGAAACATGGACACAATAAACCAGGACCTTCCCAGTGACCTTTTCAGGATTGGTAAGCGACCTTTTCAAGACCTAAGTGACCTCATTCTGGGATCTTAAAAGGTCACTGGGAAGGTCCTGGCAACGTTATTTTACATGATTAACATGCACATGTTAGTCCATGAACATCCTATATGAGAGGACTTTCACCACACCACTTCAGAAAATGATACAACATATCATATCAGTAATCGGGCATGACCTTCCCGGAAGACCCACCGCACTCAAGTAAAAGGCTGACAACCATCAATGAATGCTGGTCCTTGTAACTTGATGTGATAATGTCGTTCATCAAAACAACATATGGCTCCTCAACTGGCTCCTCATTAGAGGAAAGTAGTGGGACTTTGATTTGGCCCACTTGGTCTCGTATGTTTTGTTCGGCCTTTCATGTTCAACTCCTTGCCAAGCGGGGTCCCATGTTCAAGAGGGTTTGCTCAAGGAACCAAAAAGAAAGTGGATTATATAGATGGGTCTAAAGATCTATGTTTGAAAGCGAGTCTCTACTGGGGACCGGATATCATACAACCAAGGAAGGTGATGAGTAGGAACCTTTTCTAGTTTCACTGGAAGAACTCCCAGTAAGTCGTTTGTGCTGAGGACAAATGATTGTTTTACCGGGTCTTCAAATAAAAAGCAACATCTCAATTCAATATCCCTCAGACTCGTTGCCAAAAATCATTGCCCATTTGAGAGCGTGTGTTGGGCCGGAGACCGGCGTGAAGGGAAAGGTCTACTCCCCTTCCCGCCTGAGCTACCAGTGGATGGCGTTGGGACATCTTCACTTCCTGGAAGTTTCGGAGGCAGAAATACATCCGAAATCCTGGCATAGATAACCACAGGATCTGGAATGGTACCACAGATCTGGAATGGTCCACTTGATCCTGGATGGTACCACAGGATATCACAGGATAAATCATGGTTAACGTGAATTTCTTCCCACTGGTGCTAGACTTCCTGAAAAAAATCGTGTATGGCATGGCCCCTTTCGTTCGGATGACCATGAGTCTTCCGAATGCCAAACAGGTGGTTTTCACTCCACTTCTATGTGACTCGGAGTGTATCCTTTGTGGTGCTTTTGGAAACTATCAAACCCACCCTCTCCTGGACTTACCTGCCTATAGGACGTCATAGATGACCATTGAAATCCGCTTTCGACATACCGTGCACCTAGAACTGGTGGCAACGCGGCAACGCTCGCGTTTCTTCTGGATGATGGTCCATTCCAACACATGTCCGACATGTCCTTGGTCCAAGGACCACGAGTTAGGACCCATTTCTTTCTGACCAACCAATCGAAGACCACCAGTCGAGGACCAACGCGTACGCACGAGGACCAACGTGAGTTCCTTCGATCGGAAGCCAGACCTGCCCAGACCTGCCCAGACGCCACACATAGATGTGACATGTGACAATACAATCTCTATTGCATAGCAGTTTCTCACCAAGGGGTGCCTAACGAGGGTGGGGGTGGTCTTTTTCCTGGAGATCTACTCTCTGGGCAGATGCCGACAACAACATCAACAACCATCAACAGATCTTCTGCATCTTTTGAGGGATGTTTCATGGTGTTAGTAGACAATCTGACATAGTGACAATTCGCTGGTATGTAACAATCTCACATAATCCCGATCCCACAGAAAAAGAGCACACACACATCCAATTGTTGCATCAACTATATACTTGATGCATGAAGCTAACTAACTCGTGTTTCCGGGAAGGCTATAACTTTTGAAGAATCCAACCAGCTTTACGCCGCAACGCTTTGCACAGCTTGTTCAGTTCCATCCATCCAGTTCCACCCACTTCAGTGGATGCTTCACTGCCGGAAACCATTCGACGAATGCACCTCGTTCTGGCACCTGGTCGCTTGTGGCTTGAGAAGATGGGAATGGTCCACCGCTGTCTGCTTCCAAAGACCAGCGTCTACACGACACAAAATGGAATAGCTTATATATATAAATATGAGGAATCATATAATACAATTGTAATACCACGAATCATGTCATATGAAGAATGAATAGTTATATTCCCCATTTCAAGAGGAATCATATCATATGTGGCCGACCACTTTCTTGTCAACTACCTATGCATGATCATACACAGTAAACCGCGTCCAGTAATAAACCCCCCAAAAACCTCATGAGATGTCAAGTCAGTTGCACCTCCTTGATGCCATCACATAGCTGCGTCTAAGAACAGGAGCACCGTCAAACAGGGGTCTTTATCTGATGTACTCCCATTCTTCTCCGTATTAGGTTGGAGGTCATCGCTATTAGGTTGGAGGTCATCGCTATTACGGCTATTAGGTTGGAGGCCATTGCTATTAGGTTAGAGGCCATTGCTAGTAGGTCGGAGGCCGTTGCTCTCTTTGTTTAGACAGTAAGTCTTTTATTTATACTGGTATACTCCCATTCTCAATATGTGTCTCCACTCTTGGAGATCCTTCCCCCACCCGAATCACCTTGAGGAGCCGCGAATCTGCTTCGACGGACCTGCTTCGACGGTCATTCTGCGAACGCGAGCTGAAACGTTCGAACGGAAGACATAAGAGGATATCCGATGATCCCAAAGATGTCCCATGAACTAAACACAGGCCGACAGGATGGTTCAGGGATTGCATTGATCCAAGATGGTGGAGGATATCCAAATGGATGGCGATGATGCTTGGAGTAAGTCACCATCCGCTCCTTGGCACCCAAGTGCCCAGCTGGCTGCGACGGCCAGTCGTTAGGTTTAGGACCAAAGCGACCAGGTTCTGGTGCCAAAGACACAGTTTTTACTCTATGAACTTGTCCCAAAGGAATCAAAGAGGGGATGAACTACCCCATCTTCGCACGAAATTGTTCTCTCCCATCTGCACTGGCACGGAGAAAGAACGCAAAAGCAAAGTGGCCTCACACTCAACACCGATACTGATATACGATCGGCGCATGAAACATCGTTGGGTGTCCCTTTGTTGATTCCACTAAGCAAGGGTCCATCAATTTAACTCATCCAAATTCTGTCGATACAATATGCTTGCTGACAACAGTCGCATGCGGGGTGGAGAACTCAATTCTGTACTGCCCGGAGTCACGGAGGCTAGATGAGGCTAGATATTGAGGGATTCAATCTTCTTGGATGTGATGCTCTTTTCATTTGATTACACCCTTTTTGATCCTTGAAGGCTCGACTCTTTCCTACGGGCCACTCTCTCAATGGTTTTCCGTAGGCTCTACAACGAAAACACATCAATATCAAGAATCAACTCGATATGTGGACCCAACTGAGAATTCTACCGCTCTATTGATTTGTTATGATTTGTTGCATTTTGTTATTTCTTTGATATAGTTTATATAGTCAGATTGGCAATCAAATGTCTTAGTGAGCCGGGTGGGCGGCACCTGGCATTGGTGGGGCTCGCATGAACAGCTCCAGGCAGGAAACTCTCCTGTTTGACGGATCGGTGGTAAGGAGTTCAAATGTCAAGGCTCAGCTTGAAGATTCCCCCAACTTGACCAACAAGCCCCCACTTGGGAAAGCCACACAAGAGTGCGAGTGCAACGGTCCAGTCGGTGGGAGGTCTGCCGGTCAGGGGTCTGGAGCACATGTGACGCACATGTGGTGAGTGTTCCAACATGGCTGCCATGACAGCCTGCCTCGTGGGTGTGGCTTCCATTAGCAACACAGTTGCTGGTGAACGTTTGCTTACATCTTGATTGGAAGGCTAGACTCAATAGAACTCCTCTACATTCTTGGATGGGTGTCTGAGAAGTAAAAGCAACTGGCCCAAACCAAGAATTTGTCAGTCATGACTAGTGATACTCATGCCGTCTTTCGCCCATGGGGTCCTCTGCCGCTTGCCGCGGCGGTGGAAGCCGGGTCTGCGATTGTGACCTGCAGTCGAAAGGACTCCCTCGTGTCTGTAACGCCCGGGTGAGATGGTTCACTTGGGATGTTTGGCAGGTGTTTTCTTAACTCAATAAACTGCATCGCTGCCATATGCTCCCATTCAAGCTACCCAACCAGTCCGAGTCCCAATGTTTCACCACACTAATGAATAGCTGCCGACCTAATGAGATCTAATGTCTGTCCTTGGGTTGCCACCAATCAAAACAGAAGTCGCTGTGAGGTCTAAGCTGTTGGTGGCTGTCTGACCTCTGATTGTGTGACCTCGACACAGGACCCAGCCTTTCGGAGTGCCGGGGAACAGCTGCGCGGTGGACCTGGAACAAGACGGTGCGTTTGGCGCCAGTGGGTTCCACTGGAAGGTCATAGGTGGGAAATCAAGCTAAATACAACATGTCGTGCAACATGTCGAATTGCGGGCCCAGCAAACCACCAGACCCCAAACCAGTAGGTGCTGTTCTATTATCTTTTGCTGCTCATTTTCCAGATACTTCTGGCTATAAAGGCCCCATGTTGCTCGCACATGCGTGGTTGGGAGGGTCTATTGCTCCAAAATTGTCCAACTCCGGATTTCAAACTCTCCACGTGTTTTCTGAAAGTTCGATTCGTCTTCCAGCGTTTGTCAGCCTCGGTCCTTCAAGCTTCCAACCACTGGCCTGAGGGCCCAAGTCTGTGGCTGAGACCGAATGCCTGGCGCGCCTGCGACGGACAGTGATGCGTCACTGTCCAGCGGCCAGGGAGGATGGAACGGGGGCGAAGAAAGGGCGAACCTGAATCATTAGGCAAACGCATTTTGTACATGGTCAAAACCTGGGTGCCCCAAACCAAGGTTGGCTGACCTTCTGCATATTATGTTGTTCATCGCTGTGCAGTGCCGTCAGGTCCAACATCCTTCTACAAGCACATGCTACATATTAGTCATCTAGGGATTTTCAGGGAACTTACGATGGTTCAATGGGAGTGAGTGTAAGTTTTTGGTCCCTGTGTATTTATTGGGGCTTTAGAAGGTGCATGATCCATATTTTCATTGTAAATCCCAATCATTGCATGATAGGTACCAAACATGAATCTACAGAACGGGAAAGGTCTGCGCCACCTACACCAAACCGTGTACATAACTGCCCGACTTGTTGCAGTATTGTAGATTCTTGACCATTATAAATGTAAGAGTCCACATTGGCCACATATCATAGTGAACACAACTGCTGTTGACGCTCCAATTCTTGGGGAACAATTGGATAAGCGGGGCAGAGGTAGGAATTGAAGGTAGTGGGGAGAAAGTTGGCCGAACGGATCCAGTGCAACGGCTCTTTGGCAAGGATAGTTGGAACTACTTCTGTTTTGTTTGCTTGCGGGTATTTTGTTGAAGTAACAACCTTGAAGGTGGTTATGTTTTTTTTTCCTAAGTTGGGTTGGTTGGTTGACAGAATGGGATGGCCCCACGAAAACACTTACACAAATATTAACATGTCAGGCAAGGTTAGCTTGGTTAGATCCGTCTATGAATGCACCGCGCCCGAAAACATGACTCCGCATCTCCAAGAATTCGACTCCATGGTTTCCTGGCTCCAGAGTCTCCATATCGCCAGAATAGTTCTCTGAGCATACTGTCCATCCAATGCGATCTCGCTGATATGACCCGACTCGACACTGACTGAGACTGGTCCCTGCTAGTCGGCTTGGCTCCCGGACGGTAGCACCTTCCAGCCCCGAACACTGCTGGCTCGCCGCCTGCACCAAGTGGAACAAGTCGAACAAATAGCATGTAGAGTGACTGGACCAGGCCAACCACATGTTCTGGGTATCAAACGACAGATAACTCCAGTCCACAAGTTTGGGGTGCTTCGGGCTCGGGTATCAGCTAGATGTAACACAAGACGTGCTCCGATGCGTTTTTTGTCCGATTGGAGGCCCGAGCTTAGATGTGCTTCAAATTAGAGTGTAGTGGAGTGGTGTGGCCTGGGCTTCCGATAAGTCAGGCCTTTTCTTTGACAATGCACGCCATGTGAGGACCGAAATCATTTAGGAAACATGTAAAAAGACATGCAAAGAAGTGCCAGTGATCTCTTTTGACACTCCATAAGTGGGATCCAAGCCTGTCTCCAAAGCCGAAACTCTTTCGAGGAATTCAACCCTTTTGATTGGGAGTAGGGCGACAAATGCACCGACCAAGGCTCTGTCGACGGCATGCAAGGGCCCGCACTTGAGCAGTGATGGCAAGTCCCGTAAGGACATGGTGCCGAGTCGCAAGGCAAGGTCTTTACTGCCTACAAGCGTATTGTTTGGTTGGTGGTTCCCTAGGGAGGGCTCTGCTCACTCTGGCTACAACTCTGAAGCTTGCATGTGTAATGCTTAAGAGCGAGCTATGTGGTCTAATGAAAGAGACTAAACCTCCTTCTGAAAGGCCAACAAACTGTGCCACATCTCTACCTACACTGAGCCAGAACAGTCAAGTCGTGACTATCCCCAACACAATCCTCGAGACTCGAGTCAAGTCGAGACTCAGTCAGTCCATCTCAGTCCACCCAGGGTCGCTGTACCACTTGTGAACATGTGGACATTGCCCCTCCCATGTATGCAAGTTGTACATTTGGCCAATTGCATGGTTTAGTGTCCACCACAAGTCAGAATTAGTGCATTCACTAGTCACAAGCGAGACGCTGTCGGCGCCCACATTAAGAGGAAAGAGAGGTGTCCACCACAAAGTCATGACTACGCCTCCCACATCCAACAATGAGAAGCTGCTGGGAGGTCTGGGCAACTACTGAACCAACTGGATCTCCAGGGTCTCGTCGCCAGAGTCTGAGGGGAGACACGAAGAGATCCGAGTCAAAGATCATGAAGGTCAAGTCTAAAACATAGATTGGCTTCAAGAACTGGAAGCTCTCAGAACTGTGAATTGCCCCGGACCTACCAACCTGGTAAGTGAACCACAGAACCAGGGTCGTCGAGTCTTACGAGACCTTCATGCCGAGAAAAGGAGGCCATCCATCTTGCTCCACAGATGGCAGATCCAGTCGATGGTACCCTGCCATACATCTTGCCACGTCTTAGAGATATCCGACAAACACAAGCCAAAAACGGTCAGGAAATAAGAGGGACAAATGGGACTGGGCTTCGGATTGACCCTCCAGCCACTGCGGGCTTCTTTCTTGGCAGTAAGAACAGTCTGCGAGTCTGTGAGCTATGATCATTGGCAAAAAAAAACAACATTGACTTGAGACTTCCAGGATCCCAGGTGTCCATCTGCTTCATTAGCCCATTCGTCCATTCCGAAGAGAGCCTGTTCATAAGTGATGCAAATGAAAGCTCCTGTTCCTTGAGGTCTTGAGTAAGCAGTCCTATGATCATATTCCATACTAGTAATGGTTTGCACTCCATGGTCAAGAGAGGGCCCCCACTGATCTGCCCACTGACCTTGAAACTCATGATATAATAACATTAGATACTTAGATATAGGTAACACGGTGACACCCTTCAAAGAGGATTCACCCACCTTGTGCTGACTCTGAATAGCTCTGAATGTCGGAACAACATGTGATTGGCATGCAGGCATATGATCAGCATATAACCCTAAGTATGTGTTCTTTTTTTTCACAGGACAAACCTTTTGATGGCTCTGAGTCTCAAGCTCATTTCACATAGGAAAATTCCAACACATCCGGTTGATGAGTTGTGGGGTCGTCAAGGACATCATCAGAAACAATAAGGGTCTTGGGCTTCTGCAGCTTCGCCCTCCAAGATTGCTGGGTTTAAGAAGCAGTGGAAGATTAAGATCCTGCAAGGTCCAATTCCTGACAGCAAGTTGAAGCCAACAGCAAGTGGCGACAAGCCGCAGCTTAACGGTGGTTTCAACATATTACTGCAGGTGCACCTCGCCGCAAAATGTGAGGCTGTCTGAGGTGGTTTTCCTTGACCTGTCCTGTGAAAGCTAAGTCCAGTGGATGCAGCTGGTAAACACTGGCTGCGACTGAATACCTCCATCTGGATCCCTGGGGAAGACAGAATACCCCCGTCGCGGCACTTGCTTCGCTGGTCCAGCTTGCCGAGTACGTCTGGAGCGAGGTCTCAACCCCGCAGGAGCCGGCTCAGGTGGCCGATGTGGTGCAACATTAGCAGCTCCAAATGAAAAGATTCGGTGAGAGGAGGCAGATGGAGCGAGACCTAACTCACATGACGGCGACAAGCGAAAAATACTTGACATAGAAGCTGTTTTCTCCTTCTGATCCAGAAACTGAGGAGAGGATGTCTCAAATGTGTTCCGTCCGCCCGCTTCTGAGATACTTACCAGCAAAGGTCTTCATCATTTCAGCCACACACACACATCATGCTGTTTGGCCTTCGACCACTCCACCAGAAGGTGTTCGGCTCGATGTCTACGACCGTCGCGGAAAACACACCAACCATGACACCATCGGTGCGAAGAAAAGCTTCATCCTGCTCACTCCTCCAGTTCCCAACTCAAGGTAGGGCCTCAACGGTGGAGTTGGGAGCGTCCGGCGAAACATCTGCCTAAAGAGAGGTTGACCGGATGCTGACGTTGCACCTGACCGGATGCGGTCAGGATGATTCCATTCGAACTCAAGCCCTCCGAGATCGATGAGGACAGCGACCATCCATTGGATCGCTGGACCATCCATGGGGTCAAACAAGCTTGGCATTTAATGACCAGCTTGGGATCGTGATTACTCGTGGGTAACAAGTGGATCTAATAGGATCTTGATGGATGTATGCAAGTCCCTTTCTACCAAGTTGTTACTGGGGAAAGTCTATCCGAGACAAAGGAGGAGCTGCTTGGGGATGGTAGCACAATCGGGGTACGACATCAGCCAAGATGGGTGTATTTTAAAGGGGAGACCCTGTTCCAGGGGGAGGTCCCCCTATTTCAATACATATCCAGATGATATATATGACTATATAATGTATAACTAAAGGCTGTTCAAGAGAAGAAGCACTCCAGGGATGGCCAATGTTCCTGTCTGTAGACTCTGCGGAATATATCACTCAAGCTTTTAAACTGAATTAGGCCACAAAAGGGTTTGATGGGTTCGAGGATACGGACCTTTTGTTGCCTGGCTCATCAAGTGACAAACCTCAATTCTATTGAGATAGAATTAACATGTCTGAAGTATTGTTTCTTGGTTTCCACGATTGAAGTTCTCTATAGTTCTCTGTTCCATCTCTGTCTGTTTCTATCATCCCTCTGCCACTTTCCCACCCACGCTCGCGTCGTAGTCCACATGGCTCACATCACCCCTGTCGAAGCAGCTGATTGTCTCATCGCCCAGCAAGGATGGTCCACGAGCCCTGCAAGAACCAGGTTTCACAACCCTTGACAGCAGTCCGTTCGGCCTGCTGTTCAGTCATGGTGTTCATTCACCAGTCCTTCACACAACTTCACAAGAAACCATACCGGACCGCAGTACATGAAACTCCATGAAACCCACAAAGCCATTCATTCACCAAACGGGGGTGAACCCTTCTGTCAAGCAATCAACAGCACATCTCACGCCTGCACCACCATTGCGCAAAGCTTGACAAGCCAGGGGAATCGCCTGGCCGCAAAGGGCCTGTACTGCTAGCACAAGATTGGATTGTCAGCAAAGGACTTCATGCATAGGAAGCAACTCGCTGAATCGTTCCATTAACGAGTCCCGGCCATACCTGGACATGAGTCCGGTGGTCTACCAATGATCAAACGTGGTAGGAAATCGAGTGGAGCTTCAAACCGCATGCCATATCTGGTTGGTCGACCTAGGGATCTGATGGTCTCTAAAACAAAACGACCCTGAAGGAACTGGATCCGCGGATTGATTGAAGCAACCTGTCAAGAAGCATGAAAAGTTGTTTAAAAGCGAACTCAGTTCTGCTAGTATCTGGAACCTCCTCCGCCTCAGTCCTCGGTTCGCCTCCCCAGATCTGTGTTGGGCTTGGAAAGTCGTCACCTCGGCTGCGGATGAGAAAGGTGATGGGTCTGGCAGTCCTCAAGCGTGCAAATCACTGAGTAGTCACCTGGAACAAAAAGACGGTAAAGCAAACTAAAGTTAACTTGAAATTGTCAAAAGGTCTAGTGAAGGCACTTTCCTGTGGGTCACTCTTGGCTTCTGAACCTTTTTTGACAAGTTTACCACATCTGAGCTCAATCACTTGGATCTTCCTTCTGCTCTGGCGTCGAAGGCAGCCGGACCTCTCCTGTCCGGAGGCAGAACACAACACCAAAGCACTGTCTTCAGCTTAAGCAACAACTGGCACATTACATTTGTTAACCCCGCTCAAAGACCACCTTCCCTTCATCACCTTTCCCCAAATCCGGCCGGCGAAAAGACGGCCACGTGCCTTGCGCATGTTGAGTCCTGCTCTCAGAGTCCTGCTCTGATGGTCGACCTGAAGAGTAAATCAGGAAACGAGGAACTGAACTTTGATTGTTGCGGACACGAGGAAACGCCAGAAATATACATATGTGGTCGAATATGGGGGCCTCAAATCACCCATCTTCGAACATGTGTTATGTTTTGGTGCGATGCGTTCAGCCCGTTCAGCCTCCGAGTCTTTGGGCAAACCAGGTGTGGCGGAAACAGCCACCCAGGTATGGCACGGCCTCTTTGGTCAATGAGTACCACCAAGAATCATGAGCCAACCAGTGTGGTACATTGCGTGGATGACACTGGTGACCACACTGGATTGGTCACCTATCCCACGGAAAGTCGAAATCAAGCGGAAGCCTTTCAAGGCCACCTGTCTCAAATACTTGTTGGCCAGCTGAAATCTCGAATCTGATCAAATTTCAGATCAAACTCGCGCCATCAGCAGCCGCCAAAAGGTTCTTGACCCATGGCTCCATTCTTTGCCTCGTGGCTAGCGTAGCTGTGGCAGCTTCTCTACGCAACGCTTCAAGTAGAGGCAGCAGTCCAACACATGTGGCACGGGACAACCACTGACGCGCACGTCCCTAATGGATGGTCTCCAACGACTTCAACGGCTCCAAAAAAGCCAGGCAACTTCGAAGCGATTCTGCGAGACAGGTTGGCGCTCTGTAGGCACTTCTGACTTGCGTCCTGTGCAAACTGGGATGAGACGTGCGCAACCACCCAGTTGAGGGTCGAGATTCTTGGCGTGTGGGTCAATCTGTCAAGAAGCTACGGAACACAGTCTGTAAAGGGATACAAATCTTCACCATGATTGTATAGGTGATAGTGAGCAATCACTTGGCTACTTGTTGGTGCCCAAGCGTAGACCGCCAAATTCACACCTGCTTGATCAACAGCCTCCTGGGCTAGAACCAACATAAGCAGGCTATAACCTCTCCCCTAGGTCCAATCAAGACAACAAGCACTGCTCCTTGGGAACCAAGATCCCCGAATATCAGTCAAGTCACAAACTAAGTAGCGTCGGATGCCGCCGCCTGTTTGCCTGCGGGAAAGGCAAAACGCAGAACAGCAAGTACCTGGGTTTGGCTCCTGGAACACCCCAACAAACAAAAACAATTGGCAACATTGCCTTGGCGCATAAAGCATCCGTGTAAAATAGGAATGAGGTCCAAGCGAAAGGTATTGTGAGAGAGCAACAAAAGGCATGAATTGTATAAACGAAATACTGATGGACGCAAAGCTATGTGTGTATATATAAAGGATGAATTCCCCTGTAGGATACACAAACTTGACTGTGACTGTCACCCTTTCACACCCACCAAGCTACCAGCTCCCGCTACATGTCTCAACATAGCTTTTGGACCTTTAGCAGCATGGCTTTTGGATCAATCCATGCAATTACCCACTCCTTAGAAGAAGGTCGTAGCACGGTGGTTCTGCTCAAAACACAAACATGTCAAGTCAGGATAAATCTCTCGGCCCTCATTGATTGCCTAGATGCTCTAAACATGTCGTTGGTCCCTCAAATGCCTGATTTGAGACTCTTGACCATTTGGAGCAACAACAAATCCAAATCAAATCTACTCACATGCTATGTATTATATTTTATACAACATATAGCTTGGTGGCGGGTCTGTTGATGTGGTTTCCCCAACATGTGGGAGATGTTGATGCAGAGAAAGGAGATTTCTGCTGATTCAACTCGGAGTTCTGGTTTGGTTGTAGATTAATTGCTTTCCAACGAAGCAACATACTTTGTAGAACCAATACTAGCGACCAAGTGGCTTTCTAGATTGACATAGATTGACCTATTAAGAAGTAACTCCTTGCGATTGCTGTAGGAGCCTTAGGAGCTCCTCCATGTCTGGCTTTCGACGGCCTGACCAGCGGAAAAGGCCACATTTGACCCGGGGGGGGTTGCGCAAGTTCGCCCGGCAGGAATGGCAGAACTTTGCCATCTTCCTCATTCATTCATTCATTCATGCAACAGGGACGGGACCCTCTCAGAAAATTGCCTTGCATAAGAACTGCTAAGACTGGCCCTTCAGGGTACTGTTGCCTGGAAGAAAACCTGTACCACTCCAAGTGGAGAATGATCCAGGATGTATATGTACTGCATTTGGGGACCAATTTTGGGGTGTCTGGCGCAGGATGTCTTCCTTCCACAGCAGGACAACATAGTGATTGGAATTCGTGGAGTCAAATGCGCCTGTGAACCACAACATTGTTTGCCAACCCAACTGGCTGTTCAGGTCAGACAAACTCAGCGAACACCCGGCGGATGCTTTCTTCTTGTGCCAACACATCCTTCATCATCCTTCCAAGGTTCCAAGGTGTGTGTGTGTGTTGTCCTCTCAAAGCAAAAACAAAATGACCTCTAACTTTCTTATCATCCTTCCAAGGTGTTGTCCTCTCAAACAGAGTAAAATAAACGCCCTGACTGTCTTTTCTTCTGAGCACCAAGTTCTTTCTTCCCAGGCTACGACGTTCTAAGGACCTTCGCTCCAGCGCGCTCCCACACGGCCTCGCCGGCGCCGGCGCTCCGGGCTGCCGCCCACGACCGCTGGACGACCAGCGGTCGACACGGAAGCAGTCCTGAAGAACCAGCGGTCGCGGCCGTGGTCCTCTTTCCTTGGAAGCTGAAGAAGACTGCTTACTGTAGAAGCTGATACAGTAGCTGAAAAAAACGAAAAAACAAAATGTATTTAATGTCCTCCAATGCAAAACTTGGTTGATCCCCAATGTTCCAAAAACCAATGGCAGGCTTGTCTGTCTGCCCGTCAGTGAAACAGGTCCTTTCTTGGCCTTTGGTCTTTTCCTTGCGTTTGGGCCTGACGTGAAGAACAAAAGTGACGCGGCGTCGCGAGAAACGTGATGTGAAAGGAACATACAAAAAGCAAATCCAAATGTTTTCAGGTGTTTGGCACTGGTCCACATCCTTTCTATTGCGTCTGTCTCGAGACATGTTCCTAAGTAGCAACAGCGACCCGGCTGACTCAGGATAGCAAATCTCATCGTACCAATCATGGATTTCCAGTCAAAACATATCGAAACCCAAACAAGCACTGAGTGAAGGTCCCAAAATGCAACCTTTCATCTCAACTTACTTCTGCACGATACCCTTTGAACTTTGAACAAAGGATCAATGGATTCCAAGTCTCCACGGTGTGATCCTCCAAACATCCTTCCTAAAGCTTTCAAGTACATTTCTGGATATTGGAACCAATGGTTTTCCACCAAAACATTTGGATGGAACCAAAACCAGTGGTCTAAGTAAGCACATCTGAACACAAATGCATCCTGCTTTTGCCAGGTGTTCCTACAAATTTGGGATGTGCTTCAAATTCGGCTTCTCCTGCCTGGTGCGAGGCTTAGCCTTTGGCTTCTCCTCCCCACATGTGCACGGATTGCAAAAACAATTTGGAGGATTGGTCTTCCGGGAAACCAATTGCACAAACATGATCACTTTCAGACAATCAAAAAACCCACTGTATCTCTTTGACGTGAAGTCCGGAGTCCGTCTATTTTGGCAGTACTTGCAACGATGATCCATCTAATTACTCATGATGCCTCTGTCTTGTGACATTCTTCATGACAAGTTAAGTCCTGTTTGCTACTGCCTGCCACCCAAGCGGCAAATGGATCATCTGTATAGTCGCTGAAGAGCTGCAAACAACCCATGTTCATGTAAACTGGGGATGCTACTTCAACGGCCTTACGCATCTGGCAGGAATCAGTAGCAGCAGAACCCAACAACCTCCCGCGTGTTTTGAGCTTCAACAACACAAATGATCGAACTTGAAAGTGCTGTAGCCACCACACACGTTCCGATCTTCAGGATATGTGAGGATGTACCCCAATGACAATGGCCTCCCTCAGCCTGGGCTACAGCTCTCCTCTCCTTAACAGCTCCGGAGTGAGCGCTCACTCTCGCTCCACGGCCCATGACGGACCGGGAAGGACGCGGATGGACACCGCGAGGCGACCGATTCGGGCGGAACAGAGGAAACGGTGAAGGAGTGAAGAATCCGAATGGCTAAAGCTTCAATCAGAGTTAAACGGGCAACACACATATTATGGGATATAGTTATTAACACAAACAGTGATATGGTGATATGGACGTCTAAGGATGTCTAATGTCTAAGGATTTCAATCTTGAATTTCGTTCGCAGGCATGATCTGGGAACATTGTTGAAAAAAAAAGGTGGCTAAAGGCAGAATCCATGTGATCTCAAGGATTCCACAAACTCGTCAGCCTTGGGCCCTGTATGCTGGATCCGCTCAAAGCTTCAGGCGATCATACGGTGCTTGTGGAAGCCAAAGCACTGAAACACCTGATGTTCAGGGGGTTGCAAACGATTTGCGCCAGTGGCCTGCCCTCGTTCACTTGTGGATATGGCCGACCAGTCCCGTGCACTAAAGAGAGCCAGGTGGACGAACCCCAAAACTCAGGAGATAACAAGAGGCAAGGTTCCTCCCCAAGTGAAGCAGATCTCCCCATACCTCCATCAGAGCCCCCATGTCAAGGAAAAGAGGAACACCACCATCAACAGCAAGAAGGCTCCGCATGCCCCATGCATTCTCCGCTGGCACAGTTCATCGCCACAAACCATGAAACTTGCCTCCCACTTTGGCAGCTGACAGGCTCTGTGCTTTCGTCCGAAATCAATCAATCCCAGCTTTAGTACGGCACAAAAAAAATCCAGGTCTGGACCAAGCACACGGAAACCAGTGCATACAAGTAGATTCAGAAAACTTACCCTTCTGGTCAGATGGTCAAGGCTTTCTCATCTCCAAGCAATATCACGGTCGAGATTTTTGGCTGCTGAGAACCGCTGCGAACCGCTGAGAGACGCCTGGAACTGAAGCAAGCGTACCCTACCCGCCCTCACAGTCCCACAACCAAGCGGAGCAATAGCTCGAACTGGACGAGCGGATGTGGGTTGAAGTGGGTTGCACCGTGAGAGAGATTCTTGAACGAGCCTAATTAATAGGAGAAAAATATTTTGAACATATACTTCCAAAATCTTCCAGCCATACCTATTAAAGGAAAAGGCAAACTTGCGCCTAAAGGAATTCATAATGAGTAGATGAACACTCGCTACGGGAATTGCCTCTATCACAGGCCCATCTGAATCTGTGGTGGCGACGTGTGTTGGGGACCAATGGGCATCATGCTTCCCTTGAAATCAGCCAATCTTCCGTTTGCTTCTTGGAAATGTAGCTTGGAACTGCTGCCCAGAACTCCAGGTCAACGCCTTTTTGACCAAGGCCGTCTATGTCCGCTCAGCATTCACATGCTCTTTGCGCTGGGTCCTGACTTGTCGACTCAGGCACACGTATGGGCCATTGAGGGTAACGACGGCTCTGCTCCCGTTGGTAAAATCACTCCCCAAACAGTCTCACGGTCCCAAGGCCAGGGAAGCTTTGGCTTTCTTTTTCCCACCCATTTCTACAAGTAGTTCCCGGGCAAGCCGGCGGCGGAAGTTTCATATAAGAACAAATTGACCTATAGGAGTGTCCACGTTCTCTCCAACATGAGCGTCCTCCAGTCAAACGCACGCGCTCCGGACTTGTGCCCCCTGCAGGATCAGCAGCTCACAACAGCGTACTGGGTTGTATCTTTGCCACGACAAGAGGGGTGTATGACGAGTGGTGTATGATGAGTGGTGTATTGACCAGCAGTTGAATGTCCTGTCCTGCATAAATGCAACCAAATACTATCAGTATGAACTGTGCCAAACCTGCACGCCGCGAGAGATGTCTCAGCAGCGAGAGATGACTCAGCCGCGAAGAGCTGACTCAGCAGCGAGAGATAAATGAGCAGCGAGAGATGACTCACAGCAGCGAGAGCTGACTCAGCACCGACAAATGACTCCTCCGCGTACTACACTTGTACTACAAAGTGGCCAGTTCTCAGCTTCCAGCTCCACAGGTTGTTCCGCGTGCTAAAGTTGTACTAGAAAGTCGCCAGTCAGTTCTCATCTTCCAGCTCCCCAGATGCTCCGCGTACTGCAGTTGTACTACACAGTCGCCAGTTCTCAGCTTCTAGCTGCACAGATTGCTCCGCGTACTGAAGTTGCACTACAAAGTCGCCAGTTCTCAGCTTCCAGCTCTACAGATTGCTCCGCGTACTAAAGTTGTACTAGAAAGTCGCCAGTTCTCACCATCCAGCTCCACAGATACTCCGCGTACTAAAGTTGTACTACAAAGTCGCCAGTTCTCAGCTTCCAGCTCTACAGATTGCTCCGCGTACTAAAGTTGTACTAGAAAGTCGCCAGTTCTCACCATCCAGCTCCACAGATACTCCGCGTAGTAAAGTTGTACTACAAAGTCGCCAGTTCTCCTCGTCCAGCTCGCCAGATACTCCGTGTACTAAAGTTGTACTACGAAGTCGCCAGTTCTCAGCTTCTAGCTGCACAGATTGCTCCGCGTACTGAAGTTGTACTACAAAGTCGCCAGTTCTCATCGTCCAGCTTGCCAGATACTCCGCGTACTAAAGTTGTACTACAATGTCGCCAGTTCTCAGCTTCCAGCTCTACAGATTGCTCCGCGTACTAAAGTTGTACTAGAAAGTCGCCAGTTCTCAGCTTCCAGCTCCACAGATACTCCGCGTACTAAAGTTGTACTACAAAGTCGCCAGTTCTCATCGTCCAGCTCCCAGATACTCCGCGTACTA